TGTTTGGCTATCTGGCTCTCCAAGGGTTTTGGTAAGCACTGAAAAACTAGGGGGGACCAAAAATAAAATCAAATTTCTAAATATATCAAAATTCTTGTCATCCAAAAAATGAGAATAAACTTGCCTATGTGAAGCTGGAAAGTATTGTCTTCCCAGATATGAATAGCCTATTTTATTCCTCCAGTGTAATTCCTCCTCACACTCCATAAAACCTTTAAGAAAATATATAAAATGAAGGGTACACAGCCAGTAAAAGCATACACGTATCAGGAATTTTGGGAAACTTACACTTGTTTTCTGTTGTGCAGCAACAACCTAGGAGGCATAGAAAAAGAGACTAGAAAAGAAGATATGACCATTTAACCAAGAGATAAATACCAAAATCTTAAAAGAAACTGAGATAAAAAAGGGAAGCTTCAGTTAGTAGTCAAATATGATCCTTGAAGTGAAAGCACCATAAAAAATGTCTATTAAGAAAAGCATACTAGATGAGTAAAAGAGTTATCGCCTGTTGAACAGCAGAAGGAAGAGTAAAACAAAACTTATGTTCACACTACACGTTTTGCCCAGGTACCAGGCCAGGGCTTTGGCACTGGAAATCTCCTAACTTGCCACTGTGTGTCAAATTATTTCCCAGCCAAGTACCGCTAAAAATAATATTTTATTCTCTAGTATAGCTACTTTACATTGGTGCTATACATGAAACTTTGCAAGATTGTATATATATCTGCATTATGTATCTGAAGATTTGTTGTATCTAAACATAACCATTGATCCAACTAACAGTTGATTTGATTATATTCCAAGATAACTTTTTGTCAGGTAACAGACGATTGTTTGGCTAAGAATATGAAAGCATGTGGATATGGCAAATATTGTTCAAAGGAAAAAAAGTTTAGTATTGAAAGTACAAAGCAGCATTCTTGAACTCAATTAAGATAGATTATTCTACAATTCTTCTAGCACAAAATTTTTAAATCTAGTCATTACGGTTCAGTTTTAAAACATTATGGTATCTTTACGAATTTGTAATACTCTCTCTTTTCATGCTTTAAGTAAAAAACAACTTCTTGTCATTAGGGTCAGAAAACCTGAACCACTCTGATGAAAATTAATACAATAAACCAGAAGTCTTACTGCATGGACTAAACACAAAAACCCAATAATACACTGTGGAAAGAAGGGATAAAATAAAAATCTACACTAGAACAAAGTACTCTTAGCCAGCTGTCAGAATGCTATGGAATTTTTCTTGACATTATATAATGTGACATATGGTTTCCATACTTTTTAGCTTGTAATTTATTCATTCTTTCATGAAGTTTTGGATCAGTGCCTCAATCCCTTCACCAATGAAACTAGAGTAGTCTAAAAGAAAAATATCCAAGATATATGGGTCAAATTTACTGGTGGTGCAACTCCATGAAAATAAGCAGCTATATTTACCTCAAGTATTATTTAACTTATAAATACATTATTAATACGCATATATCAAAATATATAAATCTGTATTGTAATTTTTTTATATCAAAAAAGAGGTAGTGTACTTAGATACGTGCCAAATAGGCAATGAAATCTTAAAATCAAATGTTTCAAATTTTGAAACGCTTCAATTTAGGAATGTTTGTATACTATTTATCAACTTCATTTACATTAAGAATTGACACCAATATTCTTTTAAAACAAGGCAGAGTCCCTCAAGATGCACGGACTGGGTCTAAACCCACTCCATTTCCTTTGGGTTTTGACACAAAGCGGGGGGGGAGGGGACGGGAAGACCATGATTCAGTTCTTACTAAACAAAATTCCCTTAGAAACTTGCACGAAACTAAGAGGGCAGAAGACATAAGCTACATTCTAAAAAGATCAGAGTCTCTCAATGACCTCCAGATCAAACAAATTCAAGTTACAGGCAAAAGGATGTGTTTCTTAGCCACCCTCTCTGTAAAACTTCAGAGTGTCTTTCTGGCTTGGATATCATGATATGAAAATTCCAGACTGTATTAAAATTTCAAAGATTCAAAGAATCAAAGTTTCTGAATATGCATAATATCTCTAAGAAAACATCCTGGAGTGGTACGAGCCTTTAGAATTTGAGATTTACTTCCGTCACATCCCTTTAGACAACTGCAGAAACTGGCAACAGAGGAGTACATAGCCTTTAAGCTTTGTAATGGTCAGCTCCGGTAGCCATAGAGAGAAACTATAAGGTGTAACAGCCCATAGCTGCTAAACTGCAGAAAGCATCAACCAGAATTCTGGCTTCAAATCATAAACTGAGCCTTCCTTGCAACTGCCCTATTGTGCATTTACAAGATATGTTTTATTTTAATTACGGTGTGTAAAATGAATCAAAAACTGAAAGAAATGTACTTAGAAGGCATATTGCTAAAAGTCTTCTATCCTCAAATATATAGTGATAGCAGGTGGAAGAAGTTAGAATGCCCCAATATGGAAAAGAGCATAGAAGACCTTCTACATGGTGAATCAGGTTCTTGACTCAAGATTCTGAATTAGTCTTAGCTAATTTGACTTTTTCTGAATATATTTCTGCTGGAATCTAAAATCCAAGAGGAAACTATCTGGCTATGTAAAAGTTGCAATAGTCCGTGAGCGAAGCTTTTAGTTCAGATATGGCTTAGACAAAGCTACATCAGAATGAGGAAAAGGTTTTTTAAGCAATTTTGGTACCCATTTCTGAACTGGCTGGGCCAGAGACAGGGCCAAAATTCAAGGAGGTCAAGGAGTTGTTCCAGGTAAAGCAATTGGTTGGAAATTCCCTTCCTTCTACTCACCCTCTCCATGTATTACATTTGTGTGCCATGCATGCCAGAAGTAAAAGACGGCAGAATCTATTATGGCAAATTACACTATCTGTGGGAAGTCTTGCATTTCAGTTTCTACTTAAGTTTTGACATTGGAATCTCACTAGTAGATATAACAGTGTAATGCACTGCTGTCCAGACACATAAATATCACTTAATATTTTTATCAAAAATATAAATAGTGTTTTATTTGGTTCTTGCTGTCTTTATAGAGAAGGGAATAAGTGTAGATGTGACATCCTTGATGACTCCAGCCTCCAGAGAGTGTCCAGTCATTAACAATCCCTTATATTAGAGCATATTTTATGCCAGAAAGGCATAAGATAGTTTGGCAAGAGATCATGGCTCTGCCTATCACATCACTCCACCCATAGGTGAAGGTTAAACAAGCCATTTGTGCTAGGCTACAACAGTGTTTCTGTGACTAAAGTTTTTACTGCTCTTTCATAAGTCATCCTCAATGAATAAATTTTGCTCTGTTTAACAGCAACACGAATTAACTGAAGTTTGTGTGTTGGCAGCATTCAAACTAGATAAATTACTAAAAAGTGACAGCATGTTTAATATGTGAGCCAGCTTTTATTTCCTGAATCTGCTACGTTTGTTTCTGCACAACACCATGTGACAGTGTGATGAAATTAAAACTATTCCTGAATAACCATAGGGCTTGCAATCATATATAAAACAGAGGCCACAAATTCTCTCTGATAACTAGATTCCATTCTAAGCTTAGTTTTTGAAGGATTAAAATGGCTTTTAATGTCAATTGAGATATAAACCAACATGAAAATCTTGGCAAAACTAAGCCATATGTAACATTTACAATACATTACAATAGCTTACAGGTAACCTATTAATGCAGGACAAACTGCATCACTCAGGGAATGAACAGGCTGTGAATAACTTTCTATCTAAAAGGAAAACAAACATTGAGTTCAAAGACAACAGTGTGCTGAATGCCCTGCTTGTCTTCTCAGCACCTGAAGTAGACACATTAATTAAACATTAGCAAGTCACCACTAATTATTTTGCTAATGGCTAAATAAGATACTGTGGTGTCTGTTAAACACAAACCCAAAACTCTGTTTTGCACAGTGGAAGAAAAAGACAACGGTGGTAAATTATTAATTCAAACTTTCTTTTTAAAGTCTATTTGCAATAAATTAGAATAGATTATATAAACACTAATAAATTATTTAAAGTTGAAATTGGACAATATTTTAAAAAATGTTTCCATGTTAATTCAAAGAACCAAATACATAATTTTATTAATAAAAATAATAAAAAAAAAGGACTTGTCGTAGCCCATCTCCCAGGGATGTTAATGACAGGTTTTTAACTGATTTCGATGGAACCAGAACTGGATCCAACCTCCTTTGATTGCCATTATTCTCCTTAGAATTGAGCACAATAATAAATATTGTTGTCAAATTCACAGCTTGGGAAATACAATGTACTCTATATTGTAAAGCTTGCTATGATTACTTCAGTATGTTAATAATCTGCTAGTGGCAATTTTAAAGATTAATGCTGATTATTGTAGGCATTTTTACACATTAATAGACAGTGACATGTAGACAATAACATATTATAGTTACATACATAATTATACATAGACAGCTTTAATTAGTCACTGTTTTATAACCACAAATATAAACTTTTATACACAAATGTACATGTAATGCAGAGCAAAATGTTTGATGACAGAGTGTAATATACATGTGTGTGAGTTATTTTATACTTAAATACACTATTAGAAAAAAAGTTATGCACTAAAAAGGTTTTTTTTTTTTTACAAATATAAATATGTAGATAATACTACAGTATAAATTATAGCATATACTTTTAAATTTAAACACAGATCAAATCATAATCCTTCAAAATAGAACAACTTATTAGATATTGCTATCAGCTATGATGATTTCTGGTAATTTTCAAAATATTCCCTATGATATTTTACAGAGCATGATACTGTTCCCACTGAAGTAAATGGCTGTTTCCCATTTAATTCAATGACTGCAGGAACAATTGCTTAATAAAACTATATAGACTATATTCCACATGCATTATTATTTCACTGTTATCAAATAAAATAATATAATTTTTAAAAGGCAAGGGGAAATAGAGTGACAGAAAGAACAAGAAAGCGAAAAATATTAGCGAATGCTATCGTACCGATTTCCATGGTCCCCGATGCCATGAAACATCACCAGGGCAAGAATGCACATTACATTGTGCCATATTAGGTGGCTTGTCTAGAATTTCACAGTTTTGATCACCCAACATTTGGCCAGTAGGAAGCTGACAAATCACCAGTCTTGTCTTTATTCCATCTCCACAAGTTTGAGTACACTGAAATACAGAATTTTATATGCAATATTTTTGTTAAGAGAGTCATCACATACCATTAAACCAAAAAGATATAACAATAATCAGTACATGTTATTATTTACTATGTCTATTTTCATACTCCCTGGACACTCAATTCAAGAATAAGGACTTACAGTCTAATCTCATATAATAAAAAAACCAATTCTCTCACCAAAACGTTTACCAAACTACATTTTTATAGTTTATCAAGTGATTTTCTACAAAAAGTCTCAGTTACAGAGAATCTACTCTATTAAGGAGAAGTAACCATTTGTGAGAATAAATGTGCATATATATCTCTCTTTGATAGGAGGAAAAGATGGAAATTAGTCCTAAAACTAGTTTTCCCTGTCAGAAAAAACTCAGACACTAGGCACACTTTCTCATAGTCTAACTTATACAGATTAAGTGTAAAATACTCATAGGATGTGTTTTCTGGGTTTCAGTTTTCCTGTAATTCCACAATACCAGACAAAAATACTAATTCTCATTTCGAATGAGTTTATAAACTATTTTTAAATATTTATAGCTTTTTACCATATTTCAGAGGATTCTAAATTAGACAAAAACTGCAGCATCTGCATTAACTGGATCCCAAGTCTACAGCTACGGACAGAAAAAACATGACACTCAGACTAGCCTTGAGAATTAAATGGCTAGATCTAGCCAAAATGAGAAAAAAAAAAGAAAAATAAAAAATTCACTCATTTTTTCTTCTTTCCCAGCTCTAGATATTGATGTATCAGGAATAAGAAAAGAGGGCACGAATCACAAGAGGTTAGATTAGAATGAATGCCAAACTAACCAGCTTTAACTCTTTCCGTAATGTTTGAGCAAGAATACGTGGTCAAGATATATTACATGGCATGGAGAAACCATTCTTTGTCCAATACTGTATAATATTTCATCGAAACATTCTAACCCAAGCACATGTTTTAGATGCATGATCCTATCTTCATACTTCTAATTTGTAACTACAAACACAGTAGATACTACTACGTGCAGTTATTCTAGTCAGTACCTATGAAATTTGATGTAATAAAGTTTCTTTATAGCTTCTTGTGCTCATTTTTTCTTAGACTAGCTATTACACTGAGGTTTTTCTGCATACAATTCATCTTTTTGTAAGAGAAAATAATTCTGTATGTCTCAAGATTCAAGATGCTACTGCAACACTCAATTTTACGTTGTACATCCTTAGCCTCACACGATACTTCTTTCTTTTGGATGTACATTTACACTACTCATATTTACACTACATTTCTGCATTTGATCAAAGAACAAAGTTTAGATAAACAGGTTGAAACTCATTCTGTTCAAATAAGTAAAAAAATGGTGCTCAGTTCCGTTCACAGTCAAATAATTATGTTACTATTTCTAAGCTTATGTGGTAAATAATGTTTCTCTTTGAAAGTGAAATGATCTTACTTCTCCCCAGTTCCCATAGTTCCATCGTGGGCAGGGTCCAGAATCACAGTGTCTTGACTCTGGAGGTTTTGTTGCCTCATCACAATAACTAGCACTTCTTCCTTCCTCATCTTGACATACTACAACTCGACGGTGAAATCCACCTGCACAAGTACTAGAGCACTACCAAAACATGTAAACATATGTATCACTATTGCATAATCAGAAAAAAGTAAAATATGCTGGTTAAAACTTAAAATTACTATTTTTTAAATGTTAACTTTCAAAACTGAAATTTTCAAATAAAAATTACTACTATGTAGAAGTATTTTAAAGTTGAAATCACAGAAAAATTGTTTTCCATATTCTTTATAATAATAATATTTTTTAAAATAAATGTGCTTCTCTTTTGACCAAATCTCTACTGCAGTAACATTTCCAGAAATGTTAACACACATGTGAAAGAACAAATTAATATATTAAAAAAAAATTCTTACTGCTCCCCAGGGTCCAGTTCTCCACTGATATCCTCCCACAGAGGGATGGTTCCACTGGTTTATATTGTCTTGTGGATGGTGTACTGGAAGGTAACCCATTTCTGGAAAATGGCTTGGATTGTCATGTATTTTCGGAATATGATGATAAAATGGTGGACATGGTGGCATGTTACATTCTTGTTCTTTGGAAGGTCGGCCTTCAGGATCACAGTAATTCTCGTTGATTTGTTGGTGATAGTTGACACAGATAACTTGCCTTGTTACTATTCCACTATCACATGTAACTGTGCACTGACCAAAAATTAACCCAACATTTGTGACAGAACATTGATAATTAGTAACCAAATACATTTATATTTACTTTTGACAATAAGAAACATAGACTTTGTTTTTTCAAGGGATGCAATTCCACTCTCACTTGCACAGAAAATGAAGTCCCAATTTCTAACGAGAGACTTTGGCCAATAATCTAGATAGACACACTAAAAAAAAAAATTACAATTAATACTTACAGGGGACCAATTTCCAACTTGCCACTCTCCACATGGGCTAAAGCAGCTTGAAATTTCAGCTGGTCGTGGTAAATGAGCACAGAAAGATTCATCTGCTATTCCTCCATGAGCATCTCTACAACTCACATAGCGAGCACGATCACCCTTCCCACAAGATGCAGAGCACTGTCAGAGAACAATCCAAGCTCATTGCACTTTAGGAGACCAAAACAAGATCATGCAAGCATCTAAAATACTAACATAGCTTAGGATCAGCTTGACTTTAGAATTAAATACTGAAAACCAGATTTCCATCTCACACTGATAGAGCCATGCATTCAAGAAGAAAAGTGAAATATTGCTGGATGGTTTAGGCCTTAAGAATTGCCATTGGCTTGGAACTGAATTGCATGGCCTTAATTCTTGTGAAGCAATTCAGCTAATCTGAACAGGTAACATTTCAACTATAACATGGAATCATTATACAGTTGCAAAGGCAATTTTTTTATTTATTAACAATAGAAACATTAAAGAGTAACTTCCAGAACATTTTAGTTATTACACAGTGATGCAATATTTACATCAACTGATATAATAAAAACTGATATTCATAATCCATTTGCCATTCTAGTTTATATTAGCATACTCGATTGAGCCCCTTCTGATGCCTTTATAGCTGAGAATTCCAAGGTGGATTTAGTGAAGAGTTTCTGAGTAGCCTCAGTCTATGAACTCTTTACTGCTATTTAGTTAAAATAGTTGTGCAAAGATATAATTGTGTTATATGCTTTGTTAAGAACCTCAAGGGATTAACAGACACACCCACACTTTTATAGATAATTTTAAATTTTCACATTGCTATCAAGTAAAACTAATTTTCAGCACTATCAAAATCAAAAACTCTTCCATTAAACAGTTTGTGTAGAAACCGTTTTTCATAATGCTTATTTTACAAATTATGTAAAATTAGACCTTTAAACACCCGAAATGTTTGATATTGCTATTCACATAAAAGATTTAAATCATATTTTAGAATGAAAGATGTTCTCTATACTCAGAAACTGATCAATTATTTAAAAAACAAAAACAAACCCCAAAAACTTCCTTGCACACTCCTAATCATGTAAGAGCTATTTTGCTCAGAATCCCAGCTCCTAGAATCCTGTTTTTTTCCCCTCCTTATTTTCCCTGGATAGATTTGAAGCACACAGAATTTTCTGGGAGCGTCTATCTCCTCCTTAAGAAACAGGTTCTTACAAATAAAGCTAGAATTCCTTTAAAATTTATCCCAAGCAGATTTCAGTCTGAAAAATATATCAATGAGAGCTTCATGGAAAAACAGGTGAAGGAATGGAGGACTGCTCTGCAAGATGTGACCACTATTACATTACATACTGGGGTCCATGATCCATATCTCCATTGGGTCACCTTCCCCACATGAACTAGAGGAAGCGACGTAGTCCACAGTTTTGTATTTTCTGGACAAGAGGGCAATTCACATTCCTGTGGGCGTGAGAAAAAAAAAAAAGCTTTCAAAATATACATTTAGGAAGAGCCAAATGTAAAGTAAATGGCTCCCACAGAGATAGATCCTACCATTACAATAAGCCAGCATTAATTAACAAGTAAATACCATTTTCTAACTTTTCCCTAGCGTTATTCAAAGGCTTTTCATTGAATAAATTGTTTTGTTTTGTTTCAAATTGAGAGGCACAGAAAATTTATTTGATGTTAAAACTGTATTAGTAATAACTAATAATATTTACACTTTGAGAAAGAACTGTGTTGGGCAACTTGCTGGAGACAAGGGGTATAGACATTACTGTGTCCTGTGCCATAGCCACATGCAGTACAGAAGAACTGAGTGAAGATAGTGGCTGTGCTGTCCTGTCCTTTCTACCTTCAGCTACTGAGAACACAAAATCGCCCAGTTTCAGTCAACAGCCGAGCAGATACCACAATTCAAAATACAAAGCATACTCAAACCCAGTGTTTTCACATGTAAGTGGAAATAAATTTATACCAATTACTTGGCTTTTATATTTTGAAATCTTATTCAAGAAGCCATCAGAAGGGTGCTAGCTTGTGACTGGTTTACTCTGGACCATAGAATCCTTTTTTTTCCCCTCTTCTCCTTGAGAGTATGCCCTCAAGGAGGTATGTGGTTACCAGCTTGGTTGGATATAAATGAGATGTATCAATCTGGTGGCCAGATCAACATATTAATACATAGCACCTAAGACACCAATTGCTTTCAGTTAAAGGTAAACATTTCCTCTCAAAAATGATAGATTTAAATTAAGGGAAGTGATGAAGTAAGTAAACTGAGACAAGAAGAAAAGGTGAAGAATCATATTGATACCATATTGAATCATAAAATCATTGAAGGACATTGAGGTGCTGGAGCGTGTCCAGAGAAGGGCAACGAAGCTGGTGAAGGGCCTGGAGCACAAGTCTTATGAGGAGCGGCTGAGGGAACTGGGGCTGTTTAGCCTGGAGAAGAGGAGGCTGAGGGGAGACCTCATCGCGCTCTACAACTACCTGAAAGGAGGTTGTAGCGAGGTGGGGGTTGGTCTCTTCTGCCAAATAACTAGCGATAGGACGAGAGGAAATGGCCTCAAGTTGTGCCAAGGGAGGTTTAGACTGGACATTAGGAAAAATGTCTTTACTGAAAGAGCGGTCAGGCCTTGGAACAGGCTGCCCAGGGAAGTGGTGGAGTCACCATCCCTGGAAGTATTTAAAAGACGTGTAGATGAGGCGCTTAGGGACATGGTTTAGTGGGCATGGTAGTGTTGGGTTGATGGTTGGACTCGATGATCTTAGAGCTCTTTTCCAACCTTAATGATTCTATGATTCTATAATTCATGTCTAAACAGTTTTGAATTAGTATTATTCCAACAACTGAAGCTTTCTTCAAGTAACCATGTTGTTCTTCTAAGAACTATGTACAAGCGGAATTTTAGAGAATACCAAGCCAGTCAGGTGCTATTAATAAGCATCATGGCAAGCAGTCTCCTTATAATATTCTACATGTTGGAGCTTCCCCCTCACCCCCCAAATAATCAAAGGCATTTGGAATCCTTCAATCATATACCAAATTTTCAAATCTCCAATCTCCACTCTTCTTTTACTTAATTCCCTAGGCCAAATTTGAAGTTCAGGAAAAAAGCAGATAGTTTAAGTATTTTTTTCTTGTTTTAGAACTCGTTTCTGCAAGTTCCTTCAAGAAGTCAGTAGACAACGCTTGTATTTAGATGCTTTTAACTAAAAAGTACAATCAACTGAAAGGTATTTTTTAACTTACTTGGTTATCTCTAGGACGAGTAGCAGCATTACATTCCCTGTCATCGTCCAAAATAACTCTGTAAGTCCCAGTAACACATTTGACTGCACGCATTTGGTATCCACGTCCACACGTTACTGCACACTGTTAAAGTCAATAATTTCACAGACTTGAAACAGCACTATTTATAATCAAATTTAATTTTAAATTACATTTTCTATTTTAAAACTCTTTCTAGAATGAACAGGAATGACTACTGGGAAGGCGTCAACTTTCGTCATGGCAGACCATATGGTGCTTAAACAGTGTCCATAATACACCAATATTTTGGCTCTTGCTGAACAGTGCTTATGCAGGATAAAGGCTTTCTCTTTTTCCCCCTTCTACCCGCTGCAGTGAGTAGGCTGGAGGTGGGCGGCAGACTGGGAGGGAACACAGCCAGGACAGCTGACCTAAACTGATCAAAGGGACAATCCATGCTATATAATGTCACGGTCAGCAATAAAAACTGGTGTAGAAGAAGTCAGGGGGAAGGGAGTAAGGGGTTTCCAAATGAATCACTAGCTGTTAAATGTCTTTTCCTTCACTATAGTTTGACAAAAGCACACTTAAAGAAGGCACCTAAAATGTTAGATGGCTGAAAATATTATGACATAAATGCCATTCTACAAGTGTTATGGTTCAAGCACAAATACTGGTAAAAACGCAGGTCGTGAATAGCTATTACCAGACGGTATGGTGGAAAAACTGCAACGGAAAACTCTGCTCCACTGACATGGATTGGTAAATTGCTTGTACAAGCTATTCCAGCAAGGCCATACACGGTGATTTTTTTATTCAGAAAAATTATATCATGGGACTCCATTAATTTTTTACTTCATTTTTGCATTTAACTTGTAGGAATGGAAAGCCAGCACCTTGTGATCAAAAGATTACTCAAAAGGAATTCACCATTATGTTAGGCAACAGTGTGGTTATCTCTAACATGAAAAAATGTTACATGAGAAAAGTTCTATACAAAATAAATGTTTGAGTTAAAAATATACTTAATTTCCAAAGGTATATTTATTCTGTATTTTACTAACAGGTTATATGTAAAAAAAAAAAAAAAAAAAATCAGCTGCTATTCAGTTAAGAATTGTCACTAATATCCAAGAAACACTGAATAATCCAACACTTCAGTTGGCTTGAGTAACCTGGTTTTATGAAAGCTCCATGAAATTGAGTACCTTATTATTTTTTAATTAATTCTCATCTATTTGGTGACAAAAGTTTCCTTCGCAAATTAATTCACTTTTTTCCAGAATTTGAAGCCACTCTGGTATACATTAGATGAGCATCATTATACACAGGAACATATTTTTCAACAGCACTTTCACATAAAGAGATAGCAGATCTTTTATCACTGAAGGTCAAAACAAAACATAACAACAAAATACTAAGTATTTTTGCCTGCTATTATTAGCATATACACTTCTATGATCTTAATTAAAGCTACCACTTAAATATGCCCACACACCTATAAATATTTGGTCTTTTACCTGTCTCATTCATCTGAATGGTTTGCTATCTACATTTTCATTATTCTGGAGATGTAATACATTCACGTGTAAAAGCATCTTTGATATTAAGGCTCAGGGTCAATGACTATTTTAGGCATTTAACTTATATGCGGGTGTTCCTAAATTACAGGTTAGATAGCCAATAGGAGCAAACAAACATGTGAATCAATTCAACTAAAGTAACTGCTTAAGATCCAATTAAAACGTTTAAAAGGTATTGTTTTGTGATCATAGTCTGAACTAGAAAACAAGCCAGGAATCCTTATGTACTCACTGATCCCCAAGGCCCTACTTGCCAAGATGCACATTCATGAAGTTCACACAGTGTTATTGATTCTGGTCTATCATTTGGATTACAGAAATCATCTCTCAGTTGTTCATCATTAAGTTGGCACCACACTTGACGATGCTTCATTCCTTTGCCACATGTCACAGGACACTGTAAAATTATTAAAGTCACCAGTTTGTAAAGACATGAATCTGCATTAATGGCTTCACTTTCTTTCAGTAATCTGTTGGATTTTCAAGATCACATAAATAACAAAAATATTCCATGAATGTAAGTAGTCCAACAAAACTAGTTCTTTTATGAACTCTCCATTTCTGTAAACATCAACCCAAATGCTAATACAAAGGAATCACTATTAAGTTTCTAAAACTACAAAAATATGAGAACAATGTACAGATCATTTATTTCCATTAGAATAAAAAATACTTGATTAAAATATGAGTGCACATATCACAGCTTTCACAGGAAAAATGTTTAAACTATCCATGATTCTTTTATACCCATATAATCTATAATAAAAGAGATATAATTCTGTTCTTCAGTTGGCTGGATGGTTCTCATTGCTTCATAAAAAAGGAAGGTATAAATATTACTGTAGATAGATTTACTTTAAGTAGCTTCACTACCTCATGTTAATGTAACAAAATTTCACAGAAAAATAAATTCTAGGTGTGTTTTTCAGAAGTCATCATGCCATTTGTACATCTGGGATGTATATCAGCCAAACCCTAGGACTTCAGAATTTTTATTTTCATGTGGCCCAAAATAGCCAGAACAAAATAACCAAACATTTAAAGCAGCTTATTTTAATATCAATGACCAGGACCAAAGGCGTCTTAAGTTGTACATGGTTCATTACCTCGCTCCACTCACTAACAGACCAGCTTGGACATAAGAATTCATTGCAGCTCTGTGTTACAACTCTTGAAAGTTCCTGGCATTCTCTGTCAGGAAGATGACGACCCAAATTGTTCATACAAAAAGCTTCTCTGGTTCTGACACCTCTTTCACAGCTCCTGGAACACTGCAGCGTATAGACAATATTATGAAAAAGGAAACACAACATGATAAAACCAGGTCAAAATACATTATCAGACTTAAAGGTGAAAGACATTAATGATTGTTGGACAAATGTATCCTACATTTAATCCACAGACTGCTAATATGTTCATGTGAGATAAATTTGGCACTTTGTTTAGTACTTCCAAGATAAAACACTTTAATGAAGATTAAAGCTGAAATTACTCCTTTTCTCCAAAATACTCTCAGAACGAAATATTAAGACTGTAAATAAAATATACACCTTTAACCACTAGATCTTCTCTGCTGACTTCCAAAACCAAGCTGCAAATAATTTAGCTACAGTTTCTTACAAAAATATGAGGAAGTTGCTGAAATATAAAGATTGGTATTAGCTCCTCCTACAACTCTGCATTTGTCAAACATTATTTTCTTTTAGTTAGTTAAACTAAAAATATAAATTTTATATGAATGCTAACAAGAACAATTATAAGGTTTTGAATTTGTACCTCTGACCATTCTGTGTAGTGCCAACTTGTTAACGTACAGTCACCATGGCAGGGCTCTCTGGTTGGCGGTTTCTGCTGATCAGCACAGTACTTATCATCCACCGGGGCACTGAGTCCTTTTGAAATAGAGTACTTCATGCAGTGGATCTCTATAGACCGATACCCCGGGCCACACTTTGATGTGCAGTCACTTTTGCCAACATTGTGCCACCTACAAGGATAAACTGTAGGTGAATAAAGCACCCAGAGAATGCACCAGGAATTGCCATGTAGATACAGATATGCATTTTAGGGAACAGATGAAACTGTAAAATCTATCTCACGACTGGAATTTTCAAAGCAATATAAAAGAATTTGACACATAGGCTTAAAAACATCTTTTTAAATTTAAAGGATCTTTTGTCTTAATCTCCTAGGTGACTTTGAAAAATGTAAGCTATACTTTTAACTGTTCATCCTCTGAACACTTCAGCGTGGGCTTTCTTGCAGTTCAAAAACACAAGTCTGTTTCAAATTAGTTCCAGTTGTGGGTACAATTCTGGTGAAATATGTATTCTGCCCAGCAACAAAAGTTTTTGCACCACGATATATAGAACAGATTCACAATCCTAAAAAAAGACTTTGTCTTTTACCAATAAAAAGTAGATAAGTACACTAGTTCTACTTAGATTCAGAGGTGTAAACCTAATGTATAAACGCATTATACCAATAGATTTGAGGAAAGGAGAGAGAGACGGGAGGGATGAGGGAGGTAGAGAAGGGTGGAAGGACAGAGTATAAAGCAATCTGAATTATTTTGTTTCAATCCCCATCAACAACAGTATGTAAGACCGCAACAGCTCCATCAGTTAGGAACCTCTTTTTACCTTAATTCACACTCTGTATTACACTCCTCAAAGACATCTGGTACAGTGGGTATAAGTTCACATCTTTGATCAGACACTACCACATGATCACTTTTACGTACGCATGTCATTCTTCTTCTTCGAATACCTTGAAAAGGAACAAAACAAAGCGAATAAAAGGCTAAAATAAGAGTGCCTTTTTACACTAATGGATTCCATTCATCATTTAGGAATTTAACTAAGATACCCCATTAACACTAATCTTTGTATACAGCAGATTCTGTACAAACATGCTGCTTTGTGCAGCTGACTACATTCCAGCTGGAGAACAACCTTGTTCCAGTCACTCCTGCCATCTCCCAGCTGTACTACAGTGGTCTCACGAGGATATCAACTTCCAGAAAACTGCAAAAGTGCAACAGTCCATTTACTCATCAGGCTAAGTATTCCAAATGCATCACATCTGTCCTTTGCTAATTACCAAATTACCAAACCACTGTGTTAACTTAGAAGTTGTGATCCTTTTCTTTAAGGAAGCAGAAAATTTATCACAAGGTACCTAAAAGATCTGGAGTGCAGGGAGAAGCATCACAGTTGACAGATGCTTTGCTTTTCTAGCATGTGAGCATGTCTACAGCCTGACTCTAAACCAGAAGAAACTCTCAGTCTCCTGCCTCAAGTACAGGCATTTCTAGCACCTGCTAATAGGAGCATCTATCAAAATTCTGTGTACATACACTTTATATATACACTTCATACATATTGTGGTTTTATTTTTACACTGAAATGGCCTATAGAATAACAAAATTGTAAAAAATTGTAAAAAATATCTTCAAATAGCTTCACCCCAAGTAGCAGATAACCAAAAAAGACAAAGAAATATACATAAAAGATACGAAACAAATCAGCCAGTGACCATCTGGAAATATGATAATGGAAGCCTAATACATATTAGTAGATATACAATACTGCTTTCTAAGGATGCATTAGACTTAATTCAACTTTTTTTTTTAATAAACCACTCCTATGGCTAAAAAGAAAGGAACACATATGTAGTTTTGAATATAGAATTGCATTGCATAAATACTGAAAAGAGCAAAACAAAATCAGAAGCCATTCTGCCCTTAAAGGCTCCGTGCACCTAAAGTTTACTGAGAGCGCTGGGTTTCTTCCTTACAAGTAGGAGTGAAAAATCTGGATACTCAACACTAGTCCCTTCCTAAATGCCATCAGATCTTTGATTCTGGTGACAAAAGAATTTACAGTACCTTGGCACATCCTGCTGCAGTCTTGCCAGGGTCCATAAGGATCCCACGTAAAAAGATCATTTCTGTCTTCTATTGGGATATTGAATGAATAACGCACATCAGGGTTGTATAAATTAAAAAACCTTAATTGAGATAAAATGATAGCTGTTTTTCAGTGAATTTCAACATAAAATTATGAATATAATGATCATGTAGCAAATTTTCAAACTTATAAAAAAAGTAAACATGCACCTGTAAGGTTAGCTCTTCTTCGATTCTATCAGTGCTGTTAATTCGTTCTATCGTATGGTTTGAACCACTGTACTCAAAAATGGCTCCTTGTATATTGATTTCTCTTTTTGACATGCTTACAACAAAATTTCCATTCAAGATAAAATTTCCATGAACATCAGATAAAGCTATAAGTAAAATAAAATATTGGAAATAAAGCATCTATTTAATTAAAAGGTTCTATCCATAAAAATTCTTAGTAATATATCTTCTTATCAACACTTATCTTTATTTTAGTCCGTGTGTAATGCTTTAAAGTTGTATCAAACAGTTTTTAATGCATGAATACAATCCTAGCCATCAGTAACTTTCACCTGAGCAGTTGTCATGGATTTTCTCTGCATTAACAACACAATTTTAATATTTATTCTGCTGAAAGGTTGACTGCAGTCATCACTTTTAAATTTGGTTAGGTTCTGCTACTGTAGAAGGAAACAATTATTATCTATATTTCTGACCTATTCTA